GGTAACCATGAAGTGTGAAAAGCCACACCTGAGAGTTGAAGGAAAAGCTTCCCAACTTCAAGGTGGTTGGTGATAGATCGGAGCCAGCCTTCAGCTATATCCTGGAAATCAACCGCATGGGCCAGAGAAGATATAAGGAATTGTAGATTCCAATGGGATATCACAGAACATGGAATAACATAGTCTATCCTCATCATCACTGCTACTCATTGACCTCACCAAATCAACGATTTCAGAATCGGAAACTGCCATGGGTTCACTAAAAAACTATTTTTGAACTAAAAATAGCTCTGGGAACCAACTTATTTTAAGATGAAGAATCATGATAAGGCAAGACCCACTTAGCTTTTGCAAGGGACCTCGTTTGCACTGGAAGCCGCTATATATAACTAGCTCTATATGCATATCCACGCCTATGAATGAAATAGAGAAATGAACAATACTTTAGATGCGAAACTTCCAAGTTGCAAACACGAAACTTCCAAGTTACAAAAGCCAGAAAACAGAAGCTCACCAAGCCAAAGCCTCCAGAAGCGCCAAAGCGTCAAAGAGTTACAAAACGCCAAAGCGCATAGCAGCGCCAAAGCGTCAGAGGCGCCAAAGCGTCACAGAGACGCGAAGCACCAAAGCACATAGCAGCGCCAAAGCGTTGAAGCGTCATAAAGCTGCAAAAAAACGCCGACAAGCCTGCCAGCGCCAAAGGGGCAAGGAGCCGCGAAGCGCCAAAGCGCCAAGAAGCGCCAGACAGCGTCAACGAGCCGCCAAGCGCCAAAGCGCCAAAGCGTCAAAGCGTCAAAGCCCCAAGCAGCGCCAAAGCATCAAAGCGTTCCGGCTTCAGGCCTTTGAGACTTTGAGGCGTGGAATACCGAAGAGGCGTTGCAGCTTTGAGGCTTTGAGGCGTGAAGCGCCAAAGAGGCTTTGCAGCTTTGAGGCTTTGAGGCGTGGGACAAGCGCCAAGAAGCGCCCAAGCGTCAAAGAGCCGCCAAGCGCCAAAGCGCCACAGCGCCAAAGCGTTCAGGCGTTCAGCCTTTGAGGCTTTGAGGCGTAGGAAAAGCGCCAAGAAGCGCCAAAGCGTCAAAGAGCCGCAAAGCACCAAAGCGCCAGAGCGCCAAAGCATCCAAGCGTTCAGGCTTTGAGGCTTTCAGGCTTTGAAGCGTAGGAAAAGCACGAAGAAGCGCCAAAGCGTCAAAGAGCCGCCAAGCGCCAAAGCGCCAAACTCCCAAGCGTTCAAGCTTTGAGGCTTTGAGGCTTTGAGAAGTGAGGCGCCAAAGAGGCTTTGCAGCTTTCAGGCTTTCATGCGTGAAGCGCCAAAGAGACTTTGCAGCTTTGAGGCTTTGAGGCGTAGCGGAAGCGCCAAGAAGTGCCAAAGCGTCAAAGAGCCGCCAAGCGCCAAAGCGCCAAAGCGCCAAAGCGCCAAAGCGCCAAAGCATCCAAGCGTTCAGGCTTTGAGGCTTTGAAGATTTGCAACGTAGGAAAATAGAAGCGCCACAGCGTGAAAGAGCCGCCAAGCACCAAAGCGCCAAAGCGCCAAAGCGCCAAAGCATCCAAGCGTTCAGGCTTTGAGGTTTTCAGCCTTTGAGACGTCAGGCGCCAAACAGGCTTTGCAGCTTTGAGGCTTTGAGGCGTGAAGCGCGAAAGAGGCTTTGCAGCTTTGAGGCTTTGAAGCGTGAAGCGCCAACGAGGCTTTGCAGCTTTGAGGCTTTGAGGCGTGGGACAAGCGCCAAGAAGCGCCAAAGCGTCAAAGAGCTAAGCGCCAAAACGCCAAAGCGCCAAAGCGCCAAAGCATCCAAGCGTCTTTGCAGCTTTGAGCCTTTGAGGCTTTGAGGCGAGAAGCGCGAAAGAGGCCTTGCAGCTTTGAGGCTTTGAGGCGTGAAGCGCCAACGAGGCTTTGCAGCTTTGAGGCTTTGAGGCGTAGGACAAGCGCCAAGAAGCGCCAAAGCGTCAAAGAGCCGCCAAGCGCCAAAGCGCCCAAGCGCCAAAGCGCCAAAGCATCCACGCGTCTTTGCAGCTTTGAGGCTTTGAGGCGTAGGACCAGCGCCAAGAAGCGCCAAAGCGTCAAAGAGCCGCCAAGCGCCAAAGCGCCAAAGCGCCAAAGCATCCAAGCGTCTTTGCAGCTTTGAGGCTTTGAGGCGTGAAGCGCGAAAGAGGCTTTGCAGCTTTGAGGCTTTGAGGCGTGAAGCGCCAACGAGGCTTTGCACCCTTTGAGGCTTTGAGACGTAGGACAAGCGCCAAGAAGCGCCAAAGCGTCAAAGAGCCGCCAAGCGCCAAAGCGCCCAAGCGCCCAAGCGCCAAAGCATCCACGCGTCTTTGCAGCTTTGAGGCTTTCAGGCGTAGGACCAGCGCCAAGAAGCGCCAAAGCGTCAAAGAGCCGCCAAGCGCCAAAGCGCCCAAGCGCCAAAGCATCCACGCGTCTTTGCAGCTTTGAGGCTTTCAGGCGTAGGACCAGCGCCAAGAAGCGCCAAAGCGTCAAAGAGCCGCCAAGCGCCAAAGCGCCAAAGCGCCAAAGCGCCAAAGCGCCAAAGCATCCACGCGTCTTTGCAGCTTTGAGGCTTTGAGGCGTGAAGCGCGAAAGAGGCTTTGCAGCTTTGAGGCTTTGAGGCGTGAAGCGCCAAAGAGGCTTTGCAGCTTTGAGGCTTTGAGGCGTGAGGCGCCAAAGAGGCTTTGCAGCTTTGAGGCTTTGAGGCTTTGAATCGTGAGGCGCCAAAGAGGCTTTGCAGCTTTGAGGCTTTGAGGCTTTGAGGCGTGAGGCGCCAAAGAGGCTTTGCAGCTTTGACGCTTCGCAAACCTTAGCGGGCCTGATCCCCCATACTCCGTCATTGTGGCAGTCAAGATAGAGCTTCGTTGTGAAACAATCCACACTGAGCTCGCTTGTTTGGACAGTCTCAGGGGACATCCCGCCTTCCTGCACGTAGAGGACAGTCACGTTGATTGGCGAGGCTTGAGTTGGATGATCATGCCGATGCTGAAAACTAGCCTGAGGCAATTGTTGCCTGTCGCACCAGATGCTCAGATGGCAGTTTGCGTACAGAGCCTTAGTGGCTTGAGTTACATGCATGACAAATCTTTGCTGCACTGTGACGTAAAGCCAAGCAACATCATGTTTTGTGAGCACACTCGCAAAGTCCATATTATTGATTTTGGTCTTGCTGTGCAGATACCAGCTCGAGAGTGTCGTGCATGTTATACTTCAAATTACAGAGCGCCTGAGCTCTGGGTGGACGACTCCAAGTTGCGAGGGAAGCGACTACGGCCGGCTAGCGACTCCTGGGCCATGGGAATGACTTTGCTTGAGACCGGCACTGGGAAACCTTTCTTCACTGGCAGCCGTGAGGCCGTGGTGGCCTGTGGAATCCAAAGCTTCTCCAGTGGATGGCAGAATGTGAGATCCAAAGAAAGGGCAAGGTGGGAACTGGCGCTTGAAAAGCTGCCGCAGCGATTGCGGTCCATTGTCCGCCGTCTGACCGTGCTAGACGCAAGTCAGCGGGGCACTTGCAAAATCGTGCCCCCGGACGCAGTTTCATTATGCAGCACAGACTAATTGTCAGTGTTGCTGAATACAATAGGCTCGACATTATACGATTGAGCAGGTACGATCAAAAGGCAAGTTGATATGGTGACTGTCTGTTGGAATTCCTATAATGGAACATTGCGACACAATTAAGTTTCTTCCAGTTATGCTTCAGTTGTATTTCCGGACGAAATTCGATAGTATTGGAAGGGTAACTACTATTGTCGAAGTACGGTTGTAATATATACTAGCTATAGAGATACAATGACGTACGTAGGATTGGTTATATACATACATACATACCTACCTACCTACCTACCTACCTACCTACCTACCTACGTACCTACCTAGCTACCTAGCTACATACCTACACACCAAACCTGTCCCTTCTAGGGGTCTGAAACTACTTTGAAACTAGTCTGAAACCTGTTAGAATCTTCAAATGTGACTTGGCGGGGGAAAGATACATACAGAGATGGAAATCATGTTTGCCCTTGGAGTTCCAGGGTTCATAGCCAATCGTCCGTACCCTCATTGTTATGTAGTTCAATAAGCCTTGTGGACATTGTTGTTCAAATTCCACCTTCTTGTTGTAGCAGGATAGTTTTCATGGTTATGGGTCGAATTTGCGGGATTTCCCAATAGATTGAATTCCTCATCGTTCATATTTTAGATTTGTCTTCACGTCCCTGGCCATGTAATTTAACCGTTACCATGTCTTGGCCGCGCCAGGAGGAAGATCCAGGCTATAAAGTGGTCCGCTGATGTAGAGACGGAAAAGGGCCGTGATGGATACTGGCGGGTGGCTGGTGCGTTTTTGATGAATATCGTCGATCAAACTCCGAATTCAATCATTCTGGATAAACTAGAAGAATATGAAGTCCCTCCAATTTTGGTTTCCCTTATTGAATTCATGCGCCCAAATTCACAAATAGATCCAAGAAATTTATATAAAGATTTGATAAGAAAATAGTATTTAATTTAGTGAATCATATTTGACCATTTATCTACTACTTGGTCCCGGCGCTTGTATAAAACTTAGTTTTTTATTAAAGCTTGCATACTAAGATGGTATGCAATAATTATCTCAAGCACTTGCGTGGTTCAATACAATACAAACATACAAGAACTGTATATGATCCCCGGTATGCATGGCCTCGATTCGCGTTATTTCGGTTCCAGTTGAAGGATCGATTCGTGGCGATTCGGTTCAAACAAACTACCGATTCATATTTGATTCGATTCTTAATTCTTGCCGCGTTCAGGTTCCTTGGGGCCCCCGTCGATTCTATCCGGTTCGATTCCAAACGGTTCTGTTTTTTCCGGTTCCGGACCGGTTCGATTCCTTATGTGCAGCGGTTTAGGTTCCTAAACTGTTTTGGAACCATCCTGTATATATATATATATAGATATAAGCCAACAACGAACATAACTGGGGCCTCACCTTGTATCATCACCTTACGAATTAGATTAACCCAGATTTGACGATGAGGTACCTGAAGGTGATCATCCACTGGGCAAGAAGCACGGCCAGGTGCGTGGGGGCCCTTGAGCGGCTGGCAGGATCTTCCAGTTGGCGGCTGGTGAAAACCCCTGGAAGATGATAGATATGATCAATCTTCGTCAGCTCCTCAAGATATGATTACTGTATATTACTGTAATCTAGAATTTACACAGCAACATATCGTGGTCTTAATCTAGAATTTACACAGCAACATTGTGGTCTTGAAATGGCAGACTTCAGAAATCCTCCCAAGTCGTCTACTGAAGGTGGGAAACTCGGATATTTAGGACACCATCCATATGTTTGGGGCTCAAGAAGCATTGGTACAGCCACTGCTCCGTACAAAATCAGCTTTGTTTTAAAGATTCTTTGGAGCGCCCATTTGTGCCTTTTTTTGCGCACTGGTGTGCTCTGTTAGTGCGTACTAGCCGTTTCTTTTTGAGGACAAAGAGAAAGTCGAAAAAAACGTGTGTTTCCAATGTTTTCGTTTGGTTTGAGCTTTGTTGTGCGACTTCTGGGCAACAGAACATAAAACGACCAAATTGGAGCATCAAAAACTTTGGCAAGGATCAATATTTTTGCGATTTCAGTTGTGCTATTTTTTGTCATTACCTTTGTGGTCACTGCTAACAGGGACATACACAAGCTAGGGCATGGTATGGCCACTTACACGAAGACCGCCCTGTTTCCTGCGCAGATCGACTTGAGCCGACACGAGCACATCACTTCATTGGATCGCTTGGGACCAGGTGGGGACCCATTCGCTGTCGCCATTCCAATTTTGATCCCAGGGTCTTCCCCAAGCAAACACGTTGCTGGACGTGTTTGTTTAAACGAGACACAACAAAAAAAACTTAAAAATCCGAAACAATGACAATTAATGACAATTAATGACACTAAGTGTAAAGATGTGTAAAGTTTAAATTGTCATCCATTGTCCCAGTAATTTGCCGAGGAGCTCAGAGGCTGCTGGGTGTCATTCTGGCCATCCTGGCGGGGGGCCTCTGCGGAGTTCAAGGCGTGCCTGCCACCCTTTGGGCGCCTCGGTTGGACCGGTTGGATGGTGATGCTCATGCATTTGGTCACCGGGGATGTTGAGCAAATCCTGGTGATTTGCAAGTTTCTATTTTGTATCTTTAAAGCTGTTTGGTTCCTGTTTAATCAAAGGTTCTTAAGATATCCTGAGATCAAGGGAGAGATTCAAGATGGACTCCATCGTGGTGTGCTCGAAACAATGTGAAGACTGACAAGGCTCTTCGGGCCCAGGGAACGCAATTGGTTTTCCATTTTTTTTTCTGTCGTTTGAGCCAAACCTGCTTTCGGCGAGTTTGGTGGCATATAATTGTGTTTTTTTTTTGTGTACATATACAAATTCACTGCAACATATTTTTGTGATTTTTTGTGATAATGTCAACCCTGGATTAATAAACCCCTAGGCTCTTTAATTGGGAGCGTACCATGGTTTATTAATCCGGGGTTGACATTACTCAGATTTTTTGGTCAGCGGGAAACTCGCGTGGGATTTTTGGCCATCTTCAGATGAGTTGTGAAGCGCATCCCCTTGCGGCTTTGTCAGATCAGATTCCGCACCGGGATTTACGTTGGGAGAATGCCTTGGTTTTCTGGGTCAAGCCATTAAAGACTTGGACCATCTGGGACCACAGATCTTAGTGTTACCATCTGGTTATTTAACATAGCCATGGAAAATCACCATCTGTAATAGGTAAACCATCTATAAATGGGTCATTTTCCATGGCTATGTTAAATAAGCAGATGGTAGTAATTTTTGCATCTAGTTTTGGGGTACCTAATTTTGACTATCCATGGAAAAGATTTCTGCGCTAGTGTTTAATTCGCAACTTCATGGATAAGCACAAGAATTCCCAGGTCCAACAAATCTATCAAGTCTGGCTGGGAAATGTCCGTCGGACTCATGTCAGGATGGTGGTGCCCAAATTTCTCTGGCCATGGTTTTTTTTTGAAGTTTTTACACAATTTCCAAACAAAGCCTAACAAAGCCACATCCTACATTGTTGAATATATAATTATATATATATATATCTGATATTATCTGATAATTTATCTTCCTACATCCCCATCTTCCATCCCCATCTTTCATATCTTTTGTATAGCGGGCTCGTCGCCTAGCCAAACCGGCACCTGTTCCAAGGAGGCTTCACACCCGGAGGCTGAAGCCTTTGCGGTCGCCTTGCAGCTCGCTTCTGATTACAGGGAGCGTTGATCAACTGAATTAGGGATTCAACTGATCCCATTAGCTCAATCCCCATATCATCAGCAATTAGAATTGATTTCCGAAGTTTAGAACTGACAGAATTGATGTCCACAAGACCTGGGGGATATGATATATGCTTGCGATGATACGGAGATGGATCACTACCTCTTGGACCATCTGAATGAAATGAACATCCATCACTACTAGCAATCTGCTGATCTGAAAAGCAGGCTACCAGGGGTTTGATCCGTAGTGGAATAATAGGAAGATCAAGTTGCTATCATAGATTGTCCCGAATTCCCGCAGCGTTGAGTAGTAGAAGGGCAACGAGGACATGACTACCTGCATTAGTCCGTCAATGGGGTGTCAGACATCTACAGATTTGCTAAGACCTAATGGATACCCTCCGGTAATCAAATAGGGCCATGGAACATTTCCATTTTGTATCCTTTTATAGTGTAGAGTATTTTCCCAGCTGCATACACCTCCATTTACAAAAAAAAAATCCAGCCACATTTGAGGCTGTTTTGTTCTCCATCAGTGTCATTGGGTTTTTTTGTGTCGGCTGATGGCTCAATAAGCGACCAAAAACATATGGCTCTGTATCCTGGAATAAAACACGTGGAGGATGAACAGAGAACCTTTCATACCATTCCCAACTCCAAGAGATGAGTGCATCTCCACCATGGGTTAGCAACACTTGTACTGTAGCTGATTGAAAGCGGCTACATTGTCACTTAGTACCAACTGGCACATGGTGGTTTCTCAACATGAAGCGTCGAAGGACAGAGCCATTGCCACATCTCCACTCCTCATTCCTATCCCCGCTCTTGTTGGCTTCCTCTCTATGCGGAAGTAGCTTACATGCCCGCTGTTGTTTTCCCATTACCCTCTCGTTATTCAACACTGCTATGGAAAATCACCATTCTCAATAGCTAAATGATCACATAATAAACCAACTTACCCTCTGGTAAACTAACATAACTATGGAAAATCACCATTTTCAATAGGTAAATCAACTATAAATGGGCCATTTTCCATAGCTGCGTTAGTCATAACCAGAGGCTATCATTCTGCGGAACTTGAGGCCTCAGTGTATTGGAATTTGGGTATGTTCCAGTGTCTTGGAGAAAATCACTGCCATCACCCCACGGTTAAGTGAAAATCATGGGAAAATGATGGGAAAATGATGGGAAAACATCTATAAATGGGACATTGCTGGTCTTTCTGGCGCTCCATTGGTGCATGAACCGTTCTTTCCTCTGGGGTACCCGATCGCTGATCCATACACATTTTGGAACATGACCTGGTTGGTGGTTGTTTTTTTTTTGTTTTTCCATATATTGGGAATAATCATCCCAACTGACTAATATTTTAATCATCCGTTTTTCGTAAACCTTGATGAGCGTAACCTGAAAATTGAAAAATGGCAATGGTGGTTGACCCAATTACAAACGCACCTTGCAGTACCCACAGATCAGAGAGAGAAACCTGCACTTGAGGAAAATGAGGCCCACATTCCCAAACTTTCCCTCTCCTCTAGCCTGCAAGATTGTAAAGCCTTGTATCCTTTGTGGGATTTGGTCCCCAATCCGTACAAACTACACATGGACCACCTCGCTTGATGCCCATGATGCTGCCAACTGCAAATTGCCCACCAGCTTGTCAAAAACTAACTGGAAGAAAATTCTTCAGTGGCTCGTAACCCTTTCCTGGGATCCCGACCCTAATGGTTCAACCAGTTTTCTGCAGCTAGGGTTTGCCGCTTGGCACGCTGGAGTGAGACTTGAGGCCAAAGATTTGACTCCAGCTTGCTATGCCACTATGATTAGGAAAGCCTTCAACATCATCACCAAGAAATTCCCTGACACTCCTGCCATGCCTGGCGAAGTTTCGGAGAAATGCAAAAGTGATGGAAAAGTCCATACTTCAGGCTACATAAAGGGCGGGAAGATTGCCATGTCTTTTCCTGCCAATCGCATGCTTGGGGTTGCTTTCGTGGGTCGAAACCATGTCCTGTCTAACTGGAAGTTTCTTTTTAATTCAATCAGCTGATCACTCTTTTTTCTCTTTTCTTGATGACTCCGACGCGAGTCTCGTTTCTTCGATGCCCGTGGTCTGCGTGACCGCGTGCTGCGAGTGAGAACGCCTCCCGCCTTGTGTGAACAACTGACTAATATTTTTCAGAGGGGTTGAAACCACCAACCAGTGACAAGTGATAGCGCATCTCAAGAGCCCAGTGACCACTCCGGTTCTCATAGCAATCATTGGTATCAGTGCATGGATCCAAATCTTATGACCCCCTGACCCACTGATGGACTGGCCATGTGTACATAATATAATATGATATGATATGATATAACATAATGTAATATAACATGATATGATTTAATATAATGTAATATAATATAATATAAGATAATATATAATATAAAATATATTATAATATAATATAATATATAATATAATATAATATAATATGATAAAATATAGTATAGTATAATATAATATAAAATACAATATAATATAATATGATAAAATATAATATAATATAATATAATATAAAATACAATATAATATAATATAATATAATATATAATATAAGATAATATATAATATAATATAATATAATATAATATAATATAAAATAATCATAACAATAATAATGATAATAATAGTATATATATATAATAGAGTTGTGACTATAGATATCAATTCATCCCCCCATCCCAAAAAAGGGTATCCTCTTGGAAATGGCTTGGCATGGCTTGGCCAGTCCCCAATTTCCAGCAGATGGTGAGGTTCTTCAGATTCACCAACTTTCGGGTAGCACCCCAACAAACTTTGGCCGGGTTGGAGTTGAAGTCACGTGGGCTTGACATGGCAGTGTGTCAAAACCTTGTACCCCTGGTGAAAATCAAAATAGCTGGTAAATGGATGTTCATCCCACTAAAAATGGTATTAATCGGTATTGATCCATAGCCACATCAGAAAAACGGCAGGTGGAATCTTGATCCTCTATTCCAGTGTGGCCGTGATTCGAGGGGCCTCTCAGCATGGAATCCAACCTTGGGTCTGATACACGGGTGATTTTGTTGCTTTAGGGTTTAGGGGGAGGAAGGGGGTACCCGTAACATCCACAAGAAGGCCATGACAGGCATGGCAGCGATCGCATTTTGAGGATCTGAAACCGTTTTTATGACTCTATACCAATCTTTTGAACGTTATACCATACGGCGATATGTGTCTCGTCAGATTTGGCACCCAATTTTGCCCAATCGTTGATCACAGGGTTTCTCTCGTTTTCGAAAAATGGACAGGGTCTCAGGGTATGTCAGGGTTCCCTTTTGAGACAGGCCCATACAGGGCTGATCCAATGGTGTTATATTCAATGAGATTCCCATGACACGGCTGATCACTTGGTCGGTATGGGCCGGCGTTCAGAATAAAAAAGGGCCGGAACGCACGTTCTGGAATGTACGTTTTGGCCCAATCCTTTTTTTACATAAATATGTAAGCAAATTGGTATATAACATGAAATGGACAACGGAATGGATTTGGGTCCCTGTAAAGACATCTGATTAGGGGATGTATCCTGTTAGAGCCATCGTGCTATTTATGCTCCTTGTCTGCTTTTGTTGCTTGTTCTCTTTCTAGCTCTCTTTTACCACATCTTTTTTGGGGGAAGCTTAAAAAGGATCCGGGTGCGTAGATTAGAGTCAATCTATACGCTACTAATGTTGTCCCAGGGTCTCACCATTTCCAGGACATGTATCCCATTAGAGTCAATTTATCCAAGGGCGACAAGGTGCAAACACGAATCCTTTTTCCAGCTTCCCAATCATGCGTTCTAGCACCAACCGCCCTGATATCTAATACGTAGGCATCGTACATCTTCAATCCTTTTTCTCCACCTGTCTTCAGAACGCACGTTCAGCACGTAGCATTCAGCGGGCGGCGGGTGTAGTGTTCTCATGAGATTCCAATGATACCTCCATGATATACCATTTCATATACCCAGGATATATCCTCATTATATTATAAAATACATACAGATGTTACACATAATATATATATATATGTATATATATATACGTATGTATATATATATATATATGTACGTATATATATATATATATGTATATATATATGTATATATATATATGTATATGTATGTATATATATATATATGTACTGTATACATATACATATAGTATCCACAACAAGATCTCCATGAAAGATCCCCATGATCCCCATGAAAGTTGCCGCCTTTATATATCCCACGCCGGTCCGTTAGGTGAGGTTGAAGAAGTCCGTCATCGGCCCCGCCTATGCCAGCGGTTGCATCTGGGGCGTGGGCTTCGCTTGTATGATGAAGGGCGACTGGGCGATTTTCATAGGGCGACTGATTACCATTTCGATGGCAAACAAAAAACAGATGGACATCCTGACATCCATTTTTTAGAAAATGATATGGAAATGGTGGATTTTCATGGATTTTCCATAGATCTGTTGTTTGGGAGACAAGCAACATGAATTTTATGCGGCTTTGCCACCTTCATGTTACGAAGCGGAGATGAAGAGTTCAGACTTTTTGGGAACCACCAAGATTTGATCGGTGGATAGTTCTACTGCAGCCCAGCTTGCGCTGTGGTCAGCATCAGCCCTTTTTTTGTCATCCCGCAAAATGAAACTTGGAGAGATACTTTAGTACTTCAATGTTTTGCTCTCAATGGCAAAACATATAGTCGATTCACCAGCAAAAAATACCGGTAATTCGATTTTTGTGGCAGGTATAAATCAGATGATCTAAGATTCACCATGGAATTTCATGGATCCCAGATATCCCAGAATCCCAGATCCACTATGGGTACAGCTTTTTATTCACGGCTTCTCGAGGCATTTCTTTCCTGGGTTATTCCGTGGGGTACACCTTGGACGCTGTCGGAGCCATTCGGGGGTGGGGGGCAAAAAATTGTCGAAGTGGTAGAGTGAATACCTCCTGATGTAGTTACTATATAATGGTTAATATGAATCTATGTTTGATAATCAAATCATTGATGCTTAATGATGATTGTTAATGATAGATGGTATTGGTTATTGATGAAATTAATGATTGATATGGTTATGATAAGGTTATTGATGGTCAACAATGATTGTTATCATAACCATCATCAATAACCATTATCATGGTTATTGATATGATAAGCCAGGGTTTTCTGGATGAAATTTTTCATCATGATCTCAGCGCGTTGACGCCACTGGAAATCATCCCCAAATGGCCGGCCCATAACTTTTTGGCGACAAAAACCATCATTCCCAGATGGGGATAGTGTTTTTTTGGGCTAGAAAATCTGGCTTTTTGCTGATTCCCCTTCATGGCTATATCTGGCTATTTCAGGGAATTATGGTGAATTTCAGCCAGATATAGCCAGAATGCCCGCATCATGGTGGAATCTCGATGTCGATCCTAGGTCAGCTTCCAGAATCACATGGCTCCCTAGGAACTTTGGTTGTGAGATTCGTCCCCACGGTGTTCACCATGGGTTGAGCCAGGCTTACATATTCATGTGGAATGTGTATGTGTAAATATAGGGTACCCAAATCATCCAAAATTAAACCATTTTAGTATTGAAACCCATGGTTTGGGGGGACCAACCTTTTAGGAAGCCTCCATATATGCTTATGCATATATATATATATACATCCACACTTATATAAATATATATATATATATTCACATACACTTATGTATGTATATATACATATTCTGACTTTTATATACTTATGTATATGTATATATATACATAATACTGATATATATATATATACACATATGTATGTACTTGTGCATAATATTATATATAGATATTATACATGTTTATATAATTATATATATATGTGATATACAATAATATACGCGTATATTCATTTAGATATATATATATATAATATAATATGTATTTAGGTCCCTAAACATATAGTTGCAGGAAGGAACATCATCATCAACATAGTAGGGAATGACTTGGCTGATTTTGTGGACCACCTACAGGTGGCTTTGAACAAGTCCTGTGTCGAAGACTTGCATGCATTCATTCTTTGGTTATTGCGCCATTGCCAGCGAGGGATCAATCATGAGGGGGTTAATATAGAAGCCATATATATATACGTATATATGTATACATATATATATATACACATATATACACATATATATATATATACATATATATACATATATACACATATATATATACATACATATATACATATATATATATATAGACATATACATATACGTATATATATATATATTTATTTACATATATATATAGATATACATATATATATACACATACACATATATATATACATACACATATATATATATATATATACATATATATATACATATATATATATATACATATATATATATACAATGTGGAGGCACCCACCACTCCAACATTTATAGGTCTGGAACTGGTTCAATGACGTGACGTTCTTGGAAATTGTCTTCTTTGCGGGCACCCCGGTATTTGGACAACATATACCTTGACCTGGATTTGACCCATCATCATCAACAGGTCTAAAGGTAATTGCCAAAATTCTAGAGCAACATGCAAAGAATTGATGAGTCAACTAAGCTTCAAGGTAGTTATACCATGTAAGACCCATGGTTTCCTGTAAACTGAATCGTCAACCCGAATTTTGTGATCTCTAGGACCCATCCTTGTGTCAAGCCTCCTTTCTGTCTTTGTGCTTGGGATCTCAGCCTGGTTGTCGTTTCGCGAACGTCATCCGTTGTGTGACGTCGTTGATTTGACGGCCTGATGCTTCAGTTTAAAAGGTTGGTTGTTTGTGGTTGTTCATGCCGATTTTTGCCGGTCTGTTTTGAATTGCTTGACTATGTTTGACTATTTGGCCATGATAATGACATGATCATGATATGTATTCCTACAAAGGTTATGGGCCTTCAACCGGGATCTAACTTTGGTCTCAAAGATCCAGGGCTGCGATTTGTTGTCCTAGTAGGATAAACATAGACCAGGTTGGCCTTTGGGAGTTTGAATATTGTTTGCCGCTTTGCACCATATTTAATGATATGCAATCATATATATATATATATACATATATATATATCATGTATGTTTTTTTTGCATTCGGGGTTTGGTTATTGTAGGGGCATAGGGTTTCTCATTTCAGCTGTGGTGATTTGCCGGCCTGCTCGCCTCTGGGGTTGCTCAAAAGATTGGTAGGCGTAGGAAGTTGAGTTTTATTCATGTGGATTCATTATTAAATACCCTCTGGTAAACTAACATAGCTATGGAAAATTGCCATTTATAGTGGATTTACCCATTAAAAATGGTGATATCTTTCCAGTTCGCTATGTTAGTCATTACCAGAGGGTAAGTGCTGGGTAACGATGGGTACTTCGTAAGCTGTTGAAACGGCCCTTCGAAAGTTTGATTATGCCCAAGGTGCTGCCCCGAATTGATACATCTACCATAATCATAAACCCTTACAAAATATTGCGTATTATTCAATGGATTGGTTTAAGGGAAAATTTACAGGAAACCATAGATTTTCCCATTAAATATGGGGCCTTCCTGTAAATTTTCCCTTAATCCAATCCATTGAATTATGGTAGATGGATTATGGATTATGGTAGATGTATCTATGAGGGGCAGCAATTTTTTCATAAAATGGATACATCTACCATAATTATCATAATCATAATCATAAACCTTTACCAATGGATTATGGTTACAGTTACATGGATGATCTACATTACATATTACACAAAATGTTGCAAATCATCCTGTCTCTCGTTCGTGTTGGAAAACAAAACACATTCTATGGTTGCAGTCAGATGCGCTTTCATCCCCATCAATCACACTTCAATACCCATGGTTGCGGTGTGCTCAATGGGGGGATGAGATTCAGCACCTTCGTTGGCGCCGTAAGGGGCGCCACTGACATCAGCTTGAAAGGTTCAGAGAGATCACGGCCAAGAAGCCGTTGCTGATCTACTTCGGCGCCTTCTCCTTGCAACTCGTGCAGAGTCCCAGACTGATCACTGGGCGCCGGTGTGGAGGGAGGTGGATCTGACAATCTGATTTTAGGCTCACAATCTTCAACTCATCTGATTCATTTCGGTGTGTTTTTTATTGGTGAAGGGTATGAAGGATTGAATCTGAAATAACTTTGAGCTATTTCAATCTGTTTCAGGGGATCGGACAGTGAAGAGCACTTCTGGGCTGGTTAGATATCATGTCGGCGGAGATTTTCTCTCCGAGGTGGGCGTTTTGCTCATTGCATGCTTTGGTGAGCCGAGCTAATGATGCTAATGTGGGCTGTCCCTCAAGTGGGGCGCGCGAAGCTGGTTAGCAAGGCAGGGAGCCCCGTGAAAGCTTTTTTTACCCTGTTGTAATGGGTAGATCCGTATTCAATTATTCTTTTCAGTTTTTTTTTTCAGAATCCATGAGAATGCCATATAGTCCATTTTATAATGGGGCATATGTGGTAGTATATTCTTGGGGTCAATGCCATTTGGTCATTTAGAATCATTTCATCTCATACTTTAGGGGATTGAACCAGCACCTAGTCGTGGGCACTTCAGATGGTCCCGAATGGCCTCGTCAGCACTTCAGATAATTCAAGCCAGTGCTGCTGAGATGCCAAGAATGTTCCCTTTATTTTTTATTTTTCTTTCACTATCCAAATGTACAAACAACATTGAAAAAACGGATAATCCGGTTGAACCGTTGAACCCATCCGTCCGTTCGCGTTTTCTTTGGGGGCGCAAAACCTGTGATATCTCAGCGCCCAACGTGCCGCAGAGAGACCCTCGGACCCTCGCCCGCTTGTTCGAACAAGTGGGGCGCTTCCGCATCATGGGGATGGTGTAGGGGATCTCACAGGATGAGATAATGGGATATTACCCTCTGGTAAACTAACATAGCTATGGAAAATCACCATTTTTAATGGATAAATCCACTATTTCTATGGCCATTTTCAATAGCTATGTTAGTTTACCAGAGGGTAACCATACCCATGAGATATTAATGGCTTAATGGTGGTTATTTAAGGTTAATTAATATTAACCAAACCATGATAATATATTTCTATGGCGGTTTCATGGTTATTTAAGGAGGATAGAAGGACATATTAACCAAATGTTTTTGCAAGTTATGATGATCTTTTTGTCTGTCTGAAAATGGGTGATTCAACATATTCACCCCCGCCATTTGATAGCCATTTGATAGCCATTTGAATCGGGAAAATGATGATCAACCATCAATGTTGGGATATTTTCAGACAAAGCCAAACTAGGGTACACCCCAATCATTGGTTTCTTCATTAAAATCCACTAATTTGGGATGATTTCCGGGTCCCCCGTTTTAAGAACCACCAAGACAAACAGCAACGAAGATGGGGATATCAGCAGTAGATGCAACAACAAATCCTGGCCACAGAAGACTGGGTTTATTGGTGGCCATAGGTGGCCATGTGTAATCATCCATCAAGTGATGATATAACTATCTTACATACCCGTGGTGGCGATGAATTATATGGCCAGCTTAGCGTATCTTGTGGTGAGTAATTCAGAATCCTCAATGGTACAAGTCAACATTGATTCATTCATAAATTTTCAAATAGTGAACGATTCATTCATGTAGTGATCCATTCACATTTTTTGATGGTTAAAGTTAAATCATGTTAAATTTAAATCATGTTGTTCCACCAATTTCGGTACTTTAATTTCCCGTTTTGTTTAAATGTAAGCTGCATTTGTTTCCACAGGTGGAGTCGCCTTCCCACATTGCGATGTGGGCCCAGCCCAGGCTTTGCCAGCCGTGAGTGCTGCCACAGAGAAACCGCAAGGCGTGGCGCAACACGTGGCCGCAGTGGCCAGTAATTACTGAGAAACCAATGGTCCAGCCATAGAACAGCCACATCCAGTACGTCCAGTCACCAACATGGTCGTAGGAAAGTGCTTGGTGTTGCCATGGTCAAAACATGATTAATGTAAGGCTGTAAGGGATGACCAGTGAACATACACATCAGAAGGAATCCCATGATGGTGGGATGACCACTGCTCAAAAAAAAACAATGTTTGACTACGGCTCTTATGCCCCACTTGCCATGATTGTTACCACACTTGGTGGCCAGGATCCAGATATAGCCCTTGCATGGTGCAATTTGAGGCGCCAGGGCGGGGCAGTTGCCCCAGTGGGAAGATCGTCTAAAACTGGGAAATTTAGAGTAGCAAATTGCTATTTAAAAGCATCCACTGGTCGTATCATCATTCGAGACATCTACCCAACTGACTGGATTGCTATTGCTACAATGCACCTTTTTTAAAAAACGATCACGTTTTTTTTTTGCCATGCACCATGTTACTGTGAAGTTTACCAATTCACCAATGGTCGTCCTGAATTATTTGAAGACAGTCAATATTGATCAATATTGTAACACCAAATGTGTGTATTCGTATGTATTTATATTATATATATACACACACCAAGCAACTTCAAGTATACAGTCATTTAGTATACAACATATTTATCCATATTTGTTGTTGGATTTCAAAGAATCGTGGTTCAAAGACCCTTTGTACATGCTGTGGCAGGCGCAGACCCCTTGTCCCAGTTGTGGCGGAACGCTTGGAAGCCCAGCGATTTCGGGTATAGCGGAGGCTTACGCGGCAAATATGGGATGTTCGTGAATATTCTGGTATATATATATATATCTATAGGGGTATGGGTGGGGGGAGGTAGCATCTATATGTACTATTATATACTTACACATATCCAACACTATGATATTTGGGTGTATACCTCGATTTATGGCCAAGGGGTAAAGTTTGATGAAGCACTGGACCGAAGATTCAGCCAAGAAATGGGTCAATTAAGCTCCATCCCCTGATATTTCCATGACCGGTTGAAACCACCAGCTATGATTGGAGCTATGAATGTGGAAGCGAAGCCCATCAAAGTTCATGGCAGGTTGTCTATTGCTGTTTGCATATGAATGGATGACTGAGTATCAGATACACTTGAATTTGAGGGCAACAGTTTTGTGATCTGCAAAACCAAGGCACAAATGCAAGGCGAGTGGTAGTTAAACAACATTGCGCTTTGTCGTGAATGCAGCAAGTAGTACGTGTTTCCAGGTCTGCCAGACTTGGTTGGAGCATCCCAACAACGGATGATACTTTGGTCCAGAAGGTTCCAGCATTTCTTCCACTAAACCAACCTATTGATTTGACATGATTCGAACTTTTGTTGGTTTTGTATCCCTGTTGCTGCATCTCCCTCACTTTGGCTGCAGATTCTACTGTAGCGGTCAACATGTTTGGTTGATTATATTATGTTATTCTCTTTAGCCAGCGAATAATCCTGGAATCATCAGCTAACATCATCCCTCGCTAAGGCTCGTTGCGGGTTTACATCTTCCGTTTTGTATCCAGGAACTTGGCGGACTCGGAGTACTGCCGCCACTGTGGGGCCAGCTTGGTACTTACCACTGAGCCGGCCCCGATCAGGACGGGGCAAGTGTGGATGATGCAGTCTGGGACAATGAAAAAATATGAAAAAATGTATAAAAATGTGGGATCCACAATAAAACAGCCCGAATTATCAATCACTTCGTAGGGTATACACAATAAGAAGCCACAGATTTGGAATGGTTTCTGATGGTGGATCACACATTGGCGACCTCACAATATCTCACAATGACCTCGCTGTAAACCATGGTTATTCGGAGGACGAACTATTCCGACTATTCCCAACAGGTACATTTCAGCTTTGTGACATATTGATATATATTGTAATTTGCCCAGAATCAACGGGTATGCCACCTGCCACCGGCGTGAAAATCATAAGATGCCAAGATTCTGTGTGAATTGTAGCGACCTCATCGGACGACGTTTGTGAATTATGAGGATTCCCCAAGAAAGACTGCCTTTTTATTTTTTGAATGGTTTATACAATTGAATTCTTGAGGCTGTTTGGAAGCGTAAACAGACTGACCGCACTAGCTATTTTTGCTGCATCTAGGATTCCACTGGCAATGGACCTTATGGACCTTGTAACACTTTTGGACTTCAGAAATTGTTGGCACATCTGCTGACTTAGAGAGGTTTTTTTTAGTGTTGCCACGCTGTTGCCTGACCCCAAGAGTTGCTCGCAGCTTTGTTGACTTCAAGGGGCTGGGGATGGCCTGGGGCGGTTTGCGCCAAAAGGCTTGATATGGCTTGATCATTCTGACATATCCTGACCCAGTGATGCTGAGCTCAGCACACTCAAAGCTATCCTGGTATTGCTGATGTTCACAACATAGCGATGTCACCTCATGTTTTTAGGGAGCCCATTCGTCTCACCTAAGACGAATGGAAGTTCGTGAATTCAATTTCCGAGACACAACTACATATACCCTCTTGTTATTTAACATAGCCATGGTATAAATGGCCCATTTATAGATGATTTTCCCATTAACACCTCCATTTATAAGGGATTTTCCATGGCTATGTTAAATAACCAGATGGTACATACAGTATACCTACCATGCATCGACTATCACTTGTCACTTCGAGCTGCCCTGGGCGAATCTATATAAGTGCAGAGACACGGCATCGACGTCAGTGCAGATATCTGGATTAACAACATGGCCTTGCCCTAGAAAAAAAACATGGAACCCCCGAACAACATGAACAACAAAAATCGAGATCGGAGCATCATTCATGAGAACTGAACACTTGTTGCGAGTTCTTTAAAAGGTCAATCTTGTATAATATTGTTCTATGATTTGTTTTACCACGGTTTCTCAGCAAAATTCCATTCTGCAGAAAGCAGCGCATCTCTTCGGCCCGGCGCCATGCCGCCAGTGCTCCGCAGACTGACTCGCTCTGTGCAGAGACGGATGCAGTCCTTCTTCGATGGCACCAACCGAGAGGTTGGGTGGGGACGGGCGATCCACATTTGGAGGTTTCCATAGTCATGGGGGGTACCTCAATAGCTGGATGGTTTACCATGGACCATTTATCAATGGATGATTTGGGGGTACCCCTATTTTAGGAAACCACCATTTGGCCACCCAAGTCTATGCGGTGGTTCCGGAGGAAATGCTTCCGAGCTATAGTTGTATGGTGTTGTATCCATATTCCCTGTTGGGGGACCCAAGGAACTACTGAGACTTTCCCAACGGCATGATTATGGTTTTGGATGGTTTTGGAGTTTTAGATGCAAGAAAGTGAAGAGGTCAGCAACAAAAATAATGATCAATTTTCTGTAAATGGTTATGACCTGGTTACGGTACAATTGCGGCTGGCAGTTTGGAGTGCTGAAACATGGCGATCCAGGCCTCCAATATGAAGAAAAAACAGGGTTCTAGGCCGCAGTCTTGCCGGTGATATTCGCAT